AAGACTGCCTGTATACGCAATATTTATCATCACACTTCTACGTCTCCTATATCCACAAGTTTCCAAGAATCGACCACAAACACAGTATTGTGGCTAACGTTTGTGGGTACGACAGAGCAAACTTGACTACCCTTTCCACTTTGCAATAGTATGCCAACCACTTCTTTTGTAGCCATTCCCTCAGTAAGATCTGTGCTTTGTTGGCTTAGTTTCATGGTCACTCTCATCTGTTTAAAAAAATTATATTCATATAGCAATTTTGAAATATGATTTCAGTTTCCTTGAATAAAACCGCACCTTCTTCCCTGCTATCATTGTCACTATCACTGCCAGCAGTAAGGCACACGCTTGACTTCTCACTGGAGCTCACTTCACTGTGCCCCTCGCTATCACTATAACAGTGAAATATTGTAATTGAAATTTTGGATTGAAATGAAAATAACAACAAATACGCCATTTATTTACTAAGATATCTTACCCACTATCACTTTTGGCAGTTAGATCTACGCGTGTCTTCTTGACCGAGCTCGGTGTACCTTCTCCATCGCTATCACTGCAAGAGCGAAAAAATGGGAAATGAAAAATGAACATGGCTACACACGCAAGTAAAATCAAACTAAAAACAAACTTACTCATGATCACTGACGGTAGTCGGATCTACTCGTGTCTTCTTGACAGGGCTCGCTTTATCTTCTCTATCTCTTTCACTGAAACAGTGAAAAAATGGGAAATGAAAATTAAATGATCACGGCTATACACAGAAGTCATTGACTAGAACCAAACTTAATGATGTAATCTGCACGTGTATGCACCATATACTATATACAAACTTTCCTGTTTCCTTTTTCAGCAGGGCTAGAGATAGAGGCGACTCGGTATCAACCTTGGACCATCTCAGTCGCTTGCAAATCCATTCACACACATTACGGTGTTTGTCTTCCTTGTCAAATACTATGACAATTCCACCCCCACGTCCACCCATAGGCTCTCCAATTCTGTGTGTGTCCATGATTACGAAATRACCTCCAACACACGAAATACTAAATATGTATTGGTTTCAAGTGAAAATGCCAGTTTCCGCATCTTCCGTGCTGTACATTTTTCCAAGGGCTCTTGTTACCTCAGATCTTCCACGGGCAGAAAAAACAGGAGCGTCGCTTATTATTTCTTCCRTTAGAATGTATTCACAATTAACAATGTCGACACGTTTAAGTATGTGGTATSCCTCCATTGCATCACGTGGCTTTCCTTGTGGCGGACGTGGTTATTCAATACTGGCGTGTTGGATATTATATTTTCTGCTAAGGATGCCATATCCTGCCATGTCTTAGGTTCAGACKGCTGTTGTCCTCTATTCTTGATCTCATGTGAAAAGTGGAAGGCCAAAAATGAACAACTCTTTGTCGCGTCATCTATCAAATTCCCTCTTTCGATTGAAGTACTCTGG